AAAATAATTTACTATTTAAGATCCCTCAGTATTTCAGATTACTAGCACTGTCACTATGTGGTACCGCACATGAATAAAAAAGAAAAATAAGGTCAGTTTATAGAGTTATGATTACTTAAACTTTGGACATATTCTAATATATAAACTTAATAGAAAAATGAAGCTTAGAATTTGTTTATATCAACATATAAAATATTGTGCTTTTAAAATGGGAAAAATGTTAGTTTCCTAAAATTATGAATTACACATATCAACTCTATTTCTAAAAAGGCAGCATTTCTATTCTTCTTCTATAGTAGTAATGAATGTTAATAAGAGGAAATGCTTTGAAATCCTACAGATAATGTATACAAAGTCTTGTCCTATCAAGGGTTGGTTCCTCCCCTAAGTGTGTACTTGATTCCCATTTCCTGCATTATCTTTTTCATACTCGCCAGCCACTCTTACAGAAAACAACAGATTCAGAGAAACATAATATTCAAGTTATCTACCTTCTCAGACCACAAAAATATATGACCATTCACCACTTAACATTTGCTAGAGTTAGCAGTTTTGATGAAAAGGTAAAAAATCCAGTTATTATGATCTCCAAAAAACATACACAATTTGGAAAGTGTTTAGAAAGAAGTATCATTTTCTGATCATGTTGACTCACTTCAACTGAAAGAAAAGTTTCAGAGAAAAATGTTCAATAAGTCAAAACCTGAAAAATCATAAGTAACAATTAAAAAGAACAATTTATAGCAGAAACATAGTATACTTGCCATAATCAGTACCTGTTTTCCAGGGGATAGTAAGAGATGTTAGGGCTATACTTTTTCAATGGTAGTTAAATGCTTTCAGGTTGTTTCCAGGATTATAAACGAGGGCTTTAATCAGTCTTAAATGAAAATATCCCTTTTGAATTAGAATTACCACAGCAGAAACTAAACTTCCTATGTGCAAATAAATGCACATATATCAGGAATAAGAAATTAGAGAAGACAGTGATAGAATTCTAAATTTTAGATTATCAAAGAAATATACTTTCACTGTTAATTACTAGGATTTCACATATAAGTTTCAAAATATTATAAGATTTTAATACAAATTTTTTGTGGTGATTGACTCACTACACCTTACTAGTTATCTCCTAATTTAAATAATCAAACCCTAAAGTACAAATCAAATCCTTTAACTCTTTCTCTGTGAAAGAGACAGGAAGAAATAGCAAAGGAACACTGAGTGAGTTTAAACAATGTACATTTTATTTTGCTTCTACTAATGACTGGATCACTATCTTCAACCATTTGTTATCAGTTTCTTCACTACTGTATTAGCCATTACTGGTGACATTCCATCTCTTGTATTAATATAAGTCATTAAAATGTCATTCTTCCTATCCTATCACATAGGTTTGTTATTACATATTAAGAATAAATCATTCACTATGTATAGAAATTGTTAAAGACCTTTAAAAATCTAAGAGTTAGCATAAGTCGCCTAAAATGCTAAATTATATTAGACATCGCACTTTTTTCATTGAGGATGGCACTGCTCATGCCATGTGTTTTTTTTAATTGGCTATCAGTCAGAATGCCTAGCTGAATATGACCCAATAGGATCAAACAGCATGCAAAGAGAGGGCTACCTTCTTCTTTTGAAGACTAAAAGTATTAAAGATCATGTATCTTAGTCATGTATCTTAGTCATATAGGAAGTGTTCATCTGACAGTGAAGTTGACCTGAAAGAAAACAAGATTGAGAAATGGAAAGACAGAATGTAACTAACACTTTTTCAATCCCTAGGGTTGTTTTGTCTGAAATTAGGACCCAACATTTGGTCTTCCTAATTATGCAGGCAAATAACTTCTTTGTAATTTGGCCAAGATAGATTAGTTTTATTGAATTTATCACTTATAAACGAAGTTAAGCATTCAATATCATCAGAAGTCCACAATTATTTTATGAGCATAACTAACATGTTAAGTTTAATTTTTTATAAGTAAAACAAATACTATTACATAAATCTTTTTTTAAAATGGGTTAAAGGTTTCTTTTTTTTTTTTTTTTGAGACAGAGTCTCGCTTTGTTGCCTGGGCTACAGTGAGTGCTGTGG